TCATTTTGGTTCCCTAAAGAACATTTCAATGGATGATTCTTTAAAGAGCCGTTTTCGGCTCCTGTAGCGTTCTCCTCCAAGCATGTTGAGCTGTCAAATGACACTGCGTTAACAGATACTTGGGCAAGTGAAAGTATCTTAAGTGTGGGCAATGTACATTACATGTTCAAAAGTATGTGGACAGCCCTCCTAATTATTGAGTTCAGGTGTTTCAGCCACACCCATTACTAACAGGTGTGTAAAAACAAACACATACCAATCTCCACAAACACTGGCAGCACAATAAGTCATACTGAAGAGCCCAGTGACTTTAAACAGGGCACAATCGTAGCATAATACTGTTGCCACTAAGTCAGCTCATAAAATTTCTGCCCTGCTAGGTCTGCCCTAGACAACTGTAAGTGCTATTATTGTGACATGGAAGCATCTTGGAGCAACAACAGTGCTGAAGCACTTGGTGTATACTTGGGCTTGGCCTCTTAGATCCATTGAAGTGTGCAAAGTTTTGGAATGGGAGATCCGATATGCTCATATGGTGTGATAGTCAGATATCCACATACAGTAGTATATAGTGGGTGTAGTATTTCTTTTTGTATTAGGAGATTTTATAACTTAATTCTAGACACTCTTACTTACAAGTGGCCTCATCAGGGCACTGACAGATAATTTTAAACTAAACAAAAATTTAGCATGTGCTATTATCTCAAAGTTTAAACACACCCATTCAAACGCAAATGCACAATTTTTATTTAGTTGCTAAATGTACTATATTGGGAAAACGAATACAACAAAACATTTGACTAGGGGTGCCCAAACATTCGCATACGGCTGAGTAAGCTTCATTTAAGATGCGGTCACTTTCCAACACATCAGTTTTTGCATGACATAAGGACTAGACAGTGTTGTGCTCTGTTGCAGGAGAAAAAAGGAGAGAGGGAACCACGTCCACGGGTAATTGTCCAGAAACAGTGTGACCAGCAGGCACTGATATCCTCTTTAAGAGCAGGGAGGAAATGTGATAGAAGTTATTGAGTGCCACAGATGACCTTACTCCCTCTATCTTCACTTTCCATCAGGGCAGGAGAGGAGAAAGTGGAGGACAGTCGAGAGGGTCAAGAGTGTTTATCCTTTTGGCATGAATTGAAGAGAGCAATGGTGTAACGTGTTACTTCAGTACGCTTTCCCACCCCCCAGGCCCGATTCCCTCAGCCAACGTCTTAGCCGAACCTGAATTCGCTCCTATTCATTTAGCCTGAGCTACACCTACACGCAGCCATTCACCTGCAGCACGGCCTCAGTCTGCAAGTCATTCCTGTCACTTTCACTGCCATAAGTCAGTGGAATGGCACTAGCTGAGAACTCATATTATTAGGTTGTCCAGCTGTGCTAGTGCTAATTTCAGGCATATTTTAAACCTTCACACAGCAGTTCGCTTCTGACTCACTCAATCTGCAGTCATTTCTGTGATGTTCATTGTCGTGTCTCAAGTTTTATGAATAAAAAAGACCTATTTTTAAGTAACAGTGCTATTTCCAAGCACTTCTTAGCCACACAACTCTTCACTTCCAAAATACATTTTAGGCCAAAATCGTCTCAAAACTATTGTAAAACAACATTTAATGCATGGTTCATAACCATTTCATGTAACATCTGTTTCGGTGAATTAGCTTTTAGAGGCTTTAAACTTCTCAGATGTCTGGTTCCTATCACCACCACTGTCAACAACTCTGACTCTAACTTCTCTGGAATGGAGCATTTTGCCTCAAATCACTCTGAATGACATTGTTTACATCTTAAATGTTCCATTACATGGAAAACATGCAGTTTCCCTTTAAGAGAACACTTGAATGTATTTTGAAGCAATACTGCTATTTACAAGCACTTCTTAGCCACACAACTGTTCAACTCCAACACAACCTCATTGGCAAAAAGTCTTCTGAAGAGCATTAGCCAGTCATTTCTGTGACCTTACTTGACAGAAGTCACAACTTTTCTGAATCGCATTTGCCAAAAACATATCCAACCATGTTTTCTGCTCAATCTCTTGACCCAGTGTTCAGTTCAGACACATTTCAGCCGAAGCTAAACCAACACGTAACCATTCTCCACTGACTCGACCTCATTCTGCAAGTCACTCCTGTGACTTTCACGGTCATAAGTCACAGATCGTCTGAACGGCATCAGCCGAGAACCTATCTGATTGCATGTTTTCCTCCGAACGTCTCGCGGTGGTGCTAATTTCAAGCACATTGTCTGAAAACAGCTCATCACGCAGTTGATTAAGGGAGCTGCTGCTAATTGCTGTCTTGGGGCTGATAATTGATGGTTCTCAGTGCAGCTGCCCCGCCACGTGAGCGAGGAGAAGAAGCAGCTGCTTCACTTCCTGCTAGCAGCCACAAGTGGACAGTAATCCATGCTACAGCTCACGATGCATCTGGCTCATCGTAAACAGATCATCACAGTCGTTCCCTGTGACCATCAGCATCACCGTTGTCATCATCGTGTCCACAGTTTGAATTTCAAGGACAAAAGAAGCCGAGGATGATGACATCACAGCGACTTGCACTCCACATATCTAATGCTGTGTAAACACTAACGCTTTGTACGTCACAGGAAGTCATATAAAAGATGCTGCTATGGCAACGTATGGCAATCATATCAAGCTGCAAAATTGTGAATACACTGGAGTTATTAGTTTATTTATGGTTTTCATTCATTCTTCTTTCAGCCGTATTTCAGTAAAGATGCTCATGCTGCTTTTTGGTACTAACAGCTTGATTTTCTCTGAATTCCATGCTGGTCTAAGCTGGTTTATGCTGGTCTAGTTCTAGTCTGGTGCTGGTTTAGCTGGTCACCCAGCTTGGTCATGCTGGTTGACCAGCATACCAGCATTCAAAACACAAAATACGCTGGTTTTGGTGACCAGCTATGCTAGTCTATGTTGTTTTTTCTAGCGGGGTTATTAGCTAGCTAGCTATAAAATTCTAAACTAATAGCACTCAACTTAGCATCTGCTGTGTTTTCTTCCTTCTGCAATAAATCGCTCTTCCTTACATGCTTTTCATTGCGTTGTAGTGATTTCTCTGATTTTAGATGAGCGTATGATGAATACTCCTGTAAATAAACTAAATACCAGTAATCTCGTACCAGTAACCACCTTAATTTCATGAATACATTAAATACCAGCAGCGGACCATGACTATTTGATCCACGTCTTCGATTTCGGGCCATAAATGTCAAAATTTGGTCAAAAAATGAGAAAAATCACCCTCATGACAATGCTAACTTTTGCTAGCTAGTATGTTAGCGCTAAGCTAAAACTGGTGTGCATTAGGATTGTATGGCTGTTCTGGATTAAATACAGATATCTGAAGCTTGTACAACACATTCCAGGTTTTGTTTGAAGCTTCTAACAGACATGAACAAATATTTTACCTTGTCTTACAGACTTACAGAGACACTTTCAGTAAAGAGTCCTAACTCAGAGCTGCCGCCACTGTTTTCCATTTCAAAACTACTACAGCATGTATTCACAGCCAGTGAGGTGTCTAGGACATCCAGAAGGTCTGAAGTGTTGTTTTGTCCACATAAAATTGGTCAGTTCATAATTCCACGGTCAGTTAATAATTATGCTGATAGACAATCTGGGATGTAAGGCCTTCAGTCCAGCACCTGAAGGCCTAAGCAACGGGAGGGCTTTGGAACAATTGTGAATTGGGCCATAGTTTAAGAGCTTTCGTCCACTTCTAGCGCTGGAGATTAACAACAAGGCCGATTGCACCTCATTTACATGGCTACAAACTTTATCTTAGAACCCCAGTAACTTTGATTCGCAGTTTGTGTCTGTTTCAATACAGCAGGACAAAAGCTGAGCAGCTTGCGTGTTAAATGACAGTCATGGTCAATTTCGTAAATACATTAACGAACCATGACTATTTGATCCATGTCTTCGGTTCGGGCCATAAATGTCAAAATTTGGTCAAAAATGAGAAAAATCACCTCTATGCCAATGCTAATTTTTGCTAGCTAGTATGTTAGCGCTAAGCTAACACTGGTGCGTATAAGGGTTGTATGGCTGTTCTGGATTAAATACAGATATTACTGTCAGTTCATCATTATGCTGATAGATAATCTGGGATGTAAGGCTTTTAGTCCAGCACCTGAAGGCCTAACCAACGGGAGGGCTTTGGAACAATTGTGAATTGGGCCATAGCTTAAGAGCTTTCGCCCACTTCTAGCGCTGGAGATTAACAAGGCCGATTGCACCCATTACACCTCATTTATATGGCTACAAACTTTATGTTAGAACCCCAACAACCTTGATTCGCAATTCGTGTCTGTTTTAATACAGCAGGACAAAAGCTGAGCAGCTTGTGTGTTAAATGACAGTCATGGTCACAGTTCCGACAAGTGTTCAGCTGGCTAATCGTTAAATCCCAACACAAACTACACACGTAATCTTCTCCAGCTACTTTAATTAACTCGGTCACGTCCGTCACCTAACTTAAGCTTTTCCTGACTTTTAGGTGTTTCTGAAGGTGAAGTTTTAGCTTCATAATTTCACAGGAGGTAATGAAATGCTGACGGTGTGTGGCACTCTCCAGTGGACTGAGAGCTTAGCGCAGGCTGATTTGGAGGTGCTCAAAAGAATTAAAAACGTAATCCGTGGTAATCCAGTCTCTGTACACAAACACACACACTTTCACGAGCACACAAACCTTCCCTCATGTTCGTTGCTTTACGGCGAACGGCAAAGCAAAGACTTTGTTGTGCTTGCCCACCTCTGTGGCCGCTAACGCTCTTCTCTTTACCGTTAGAAACGATCACACCGCAGCATGTTTCCTCTGATCCTCTGAACCTTCGCTGCCGACTGATCTAAAAGGCTTTAGTAACTTTATTGCTTCTAACAGAACCAGCCTGAGGGTGAAGAGTAGAACATGATTGATTCTCTCTCTCTCTCTCTCTCTCTCTCTCTCTCTCTCTCTCATTCTCATACTCACCCGTGAGTAGATCACCTCCAAAGAAATGTTCTGGGGAGGAGCACTTGGAACTGTGGAGAGAAAAAGAGAGGAGGATTAAGACGACGCCTTGTTTTAAAGAAGAGCGAGTGTTTGTTAGGAATGTGAGAATCACTACCAAAGTATCAATAAATTATCTGTCTATCTCTCCATCTGTCTGTCTGTCTGTCTGTATGACTGTCTGTTTGTCTATCTGGTCTATCTATCTGTCACTCTGTCTATCTATCTATCTATCTATCTGTCTGTCTGTCTGTCTGTCTGTCTGTCTGTCTGTCTGTGTGTCTGTCTGTCTGTCTGTCTGTCTGTCCATATGACTGTCTGTTTGTCTATCTGGTCTATCTATCTATCTATCTATCTATCTATCTATCTATCTATCTATCTGTCTGTCTGTCTATCTATCTTTCTGTTTGTCTGTCTGTCTGTCTATCTACCTGTCTATCGATCTGTCTGTCTGTCTGTCTGTCTGTCTATCTATCTATCTGTCTGTCTGTCTGTCTTTCTATCTATCTATCTATCTATCTATCTATCTGTCTGTCTGTCTGTCTGTCTGTCTGTTTGTCTGTCTGTCTTTCTATCTATCTATCTATCTATCTGTACGACTGTCAGTCTGTCTGTCTGTCTGTCTGTCTGCCTGTCTGCTGTGCGAAACTCAGGGACCACTATTCATTTATTCAATTTCCACTTAAAACAATGAATAATTTTTCATTGTCAAGAAAAACAAAGATTTATTTGTTTGTTTGTTTGTTTGTTTGTTTGTTTGTTTGTTTCAGTCTTTAGTGTGTCCAATCTTTATTGCAGCTTCCATTCTTTTCAGGAGACTCACATTCAGTGTGACAAGTAACCCCAAACACAGTCAGTGATGTTTAGATCTGGTCACAGCTGGTAAGAGTCCCATCTTCTGTTTACTTTTACTGCAGTTTTATAAACCCCTGTTTTTTTTTCTTTAGACTTTCTCCTTCCCTACTCAAGCAGGATATCTTCTATCTGATCTCCTCAGAAATCTCTCCTGAAGAAATGAATAACTTGTACTTATTGGCTGTTTTAACTGGAAATTAAATGAATAAAGGGTGGTCTCTGACTTTTGCACAGTATGTAAATTCATGTGTACATGTGTGATGTATTTCTGAGTGAAACTCAGTATAGCAGAGGGACTTCTGAGTAGTAGCTCTCAATGGTAGACAGGGGTTAGTGGAGATATTTTCCTGCTGTTTTCAGTTTGACTTTGAATGTATTAGTATTTGTAGTGGGTATCAAGAAATTAGTCTTATCATTACTTGGTACTGTATTTTAAACCAGTGTTGTCGCCTTGTGTGTGTGTGTGTTTGTGGGTCTGACATCACGTTGTATGCATAAATGAGTAGCCATATGGGACCCCCTCATCACAGAGTAGTCTGAGCTTGTTAAAGCTGTTATTGAATTAGCCTTTTGCCTGAGGGACTACCTGAGACTGATCCCTTTGAATACTACATGGAAGCATTACTGATTACGTCTCGCAGCATTTATCGGTAATCAATGATCAAATTACCTTACATGAGATAACCTATCATAGACATTAATGCAAATACACTTTCAAAAGACCTCCAGGTTATCTGCCTGTTGATGCGTTTCAGAGGCATCGATACAGATCAATCAGTTGAATTGTGTTTACTGCAATGCTACATTTCAATGGAATTTAAGTCTATATGTAACACAGTCAAACATGCATATATATATATATATATATATATATATATATATATAAACTTGCTGACCACTTTATGAGAAAGCCCTCTTTTGTAGCTCCACCTTGGTGTGCAGTTAGAGACTGTAGCACAATCTGTAGAGGCACAATTTGTGTTAGCCAGTGAATGGAAGCCCAAGGTTGGTGTTTCCAATAAGGTGGCCAGTCAGTGGAAGTACATGGTAGGTGTTTCCAATAAAGTGGCCAGCGAGTGGAAGTACAAGGTAGGTGTTTCTAATAAAGTGGCCAGTGAATAAAATTAGAAGGTGGGTGTTTCTAATAAAGTGGCCAGAAAGTGGAAGTACAAGGTAGGTGTTTCTAATAAAGTGGCCAGTGAGTGGAAGTACGAGGTAGGTGTTTCTAATGAAGTGGCCAGTGAATAAAATTAGAAGGTGGGTGTTTCTAATAAAGTGGCCAGTGAGTGGAAGTACAAGGTAGGTGTTTCTAATAAAGTGGCCACTGAATGGAAGTATAAGGTAGGTGTTTCTAATAAAGTGGTCAGTGAGTGGAAGTATGAGGTAAGTGTTTCTAATAAAGTGGTCAGTGAGTGGAAGCACTACATAGGTGTTTCTAATAAAGTGGCCACTGAGTGGAAGTATAAGGTAGGTGTTTCTAATAAAGTGGTCACTGAGTGGAAGTATAAGGTAGGTGTTTCTAATAAAGTGGCACCTACGCTCACACAAATGCATAGACTTGTAAACTTTCCTGACCAGGCTAATGTTCCACTTGTTGTAATTTACTAAGTCAGTCCCAAAGTTGCTTCATTTTACTGCTCCGTCAGCTGAAGGACTCTAATTGGTTTCCATAATTAAAAAGGAGCATTTTGTAAACGAGCTTTAATCTTCACCTGCTAATTGTTATTGCGTGAGAAGTTGGGGCTGGACTTCATTCTCAGATACAATTATCATTAAAACTTCCAACCTGGGATGCTTTAATAGCGTGTTTACGCTGAGAGAGAGAGAGAGAGAGAGAGAGAGAGGAAAAGTAAAAAGAGAAGGAGAAAGAACGAAACAAAAAATAAAGCAATGAGAGGAATGGAGATGGTAGGGAGACAGGGAAGTAAAAAAAGAAATAAATAAAAAGAAAGAGAAGAAGAGAATAAGAAAGATGGAAGGAGAAGAGGGGGAGGAGAGGGAAGAGAGAGGGGGAGAGCGAAAGAGCAAGTAAGAAAGAAAGACAAAGAAACAGTGGAGAGAAAGAAAGAAAGAAAGAAAGAAAGAAAGAAAGAAAGAAAGAAAGAAAGAAAGAGGGAGGGAAAGATAAAAATAGAAAGAGAGAAAGAGGGAAGAAAGAGAGAGAGAGAGAGAGAGAGAGAGAGAAAGAGAGACAAAGACAAAGGAAGAAAAGAGAGAGAGATAGTGATAAAGAGAGATAGAAAGACAGAGGGAGGAAAAGAGAGTGGAAGAGAGAGAAAGATAAAGAGAGAGAGGGAGGGAGGAAGGAGAGAGATAAAGAGAGAGAGGGAGGGAGGAAGACGTGGCGTGGCACAATTTCATTAGTGCGACACAAGGGGCCTTTAATTAAGCGGGAGATGGGGCGGCCGCTCTCGCGGCTCATTTGAAGCGTCCGCGGCGGCGCGCTAATGGAAGCTGACAGACAATAAATTCCCGCGGCCTCTTAGTGAGCATTGAAGGTAATACGGAGAGACAGTCGGCCAACGAACGAGTGCCAGAGCCACCACTGAACCAACAACACTCACTGTCTCTCTGAGGTAGCGCAGAGAGAGAGAGAGGGAGGGAGAGAGAGAGAGAGAGAGAGAGAGAGAGAGAGAGAGAGAGAGAGAGAGAGAGAGTAAATACGATTAAAAGAGAGATGGAGTAAGATAGAAAAAGAGAAAAAGAAAAGAGTGCAGGTGAGAGAGAGATAAAAAAGAAAGATAATCAACAAGAGAGAAGGAGAAAGAGTGAGAGAGAAAGAGAGGGAGAGTGATAGAAAGTGAGAGACAGCACTTGTGAGAGATTGAGAATAAGAAAGAGAAAGGGAGACAAAGAGAGGGAACAAGAAAGAAAGAAAGAAAGAAAGAAAGAACAAGCGTTAAAAGGGAGAGAGATGAAAAAGAGAGATAGGCAACAAGATAGAAAAGAATGAGAAAGAGTGGGGCAAAAGAGAGAGAGCGAGATAGAGAAAGAGACAGAATGAGATAGAAAGTTTGGGAGAGAGGAAGACAGCAAGAGATAGCACTTGTGAGAGAGTGAGAGTAAGAAAGAGAAAGGGAGAGAGAGAGAGGGAAAGAGACAGAATGAGGTAGAAAGATAGGGAGAGAAAGAAAGGTAGAGAGATGGTGAGAGTGAGAGAGAGAGATGAAAAAGAGAGAAAAGAGAGCAACAAGAGAAAAAAAAGAGACAGAGAGTGAGACGGAAAGAGAGAAAGAGAGAGAGAGAAAGAGGGGGAAAGATAGAGAATGAGGTACAAAGACAGGGGGAGTGACAGAAAGCAAGAGACAGCATTTGTGAGAGAGTGAGAGTAAGAAAGAGAGAGGGAACAAGACAGAAAAAAAAGAAAGAAAGAAAGAGTGCAGCATCACTGCTGAACTTTCCAGTCTGTGTGGTATTAAGGGTGAGTCTCACTGTGTTAGAGCTGGAGAGTTAGAGGAGTGTCTGCATTCAGGTCACAATGCTGCGTTCCCTCACACTCTCTCTCTTTCTCTCTTTCTCTCTCTCTCTCTCTCTCTCTCTCTCTCTCTCTGTGAACTCATGTCTGCTGTGAGTCTCTCAGTGTTTACAAGCCGTCTGTCTGACTGTCCTCTGTCTCGCAGTGCGAGTCCGTTAGATCGGTTTGAGCCACCGTGTTCTGATACTAACAAATTGGCGACAAGGCAAAGACTTCAGTCGGCTGCGTTCACGCCCTGCAGGCTGGGCAGCGATGATAAGCGTCCGGCAATTGAATATTTGAGATTTAGCGGACAACATAATCCTCAGGTTAAAACCTCAGTCAATCGCCCGCTTTAGAAAGCCGATCAGGAGGACAGGCAGGAAACCGAAACTTCGTTTATGTCCATTCAAAGATGTAACAAAATGCAGAGAAGTGTCAAAGTACGACATTCATGTCCATCTAAACTATATCAGAAACCTCTCCACTGGAGCTCAGTTAGAGACTGTAGCCCAGTTTGTGCAAGCCATCCTCTATTATTTCATCAGTGGTTAGTTTCTGACCACAGAGCTGCTCCTGATTGGACATTATAGGGTGGTGGACCACTGTGAACCTAGCAATGAGTGTGTTTACATGCACTTGATAATCCGATCATAATCAGATTTCTGCAGTTATCCAATTATTCAAAGGTCATGTAAACACCATACTCTGATTTAGAAATCCGATTAAGAAATCTGACAAAGAGAGCTGGATTTTAGCTCAGTAATCAGATTTCTCAGTGCATATAAACTCTTACCCTGATATGTTTCAGGTTTCTCAGTCTGTGCATGTGCAAAAACAGACGGCAGTACCGGAAATAAGCGAGCAGCGACGCTGAAACCAAATACATTATCGAAGAAATGAAGGATTTAAATATTCGTCATCTTCTATATGATGTATGTTCATATTTTCAGGTAAATTGGCGTAATTCTTCTTTTTAAAGAAAAGAGCCGCGGAATGAAGTTTGAGTGTTACGTTATATTTGCGTCACGTGTTCTTCTGTGAGTTTATTGGCTGATAGCAAAGCAGAAAACTGATTACTGTCTGACTCATATAGACCTGGAGTTTCTGATTACTCGAGTGCATGTAAACGTGTTGATCAGATTACTGACAAAATCAGATTTTCTGCAGTTATCATATTATTAAGTGCATTTAAACACACTCCGTGACACTATGGTCAGAATCTGATGTGTAATAAAAGGGCCTGATAAAGGTTAATGGAGATGATAAACTGACCAATGACTGGAAGTATAAGTGAAAGCTTCTAAAAAAGTGGACGTAATGAATGTATGAAGGTCAGAAACCTTCTCCAGTTTCAATATTTGAGACCGCAACAAAGTAAATATCCATCTATAAGTTATCTATCCAAGAATACAGTGGGTGTTTACCTAAAAACAACTGGGAAGCTCCTAAATACGGAAGTCCAGAGAGTCCAGAGAGTCCATGCGGTAGTTAAAATTTTCAGGATTGTTATTTTGAGATAACGAGTTATTTATCTTGTTATCTCAAGATAACAAAGTTGTTATCTTAAAATAACAAGTTACTTATCTTGTTATCACGAGATAACAAAACTTGTTATCTTCAGATAGAGTTATGTATCTTGTTGTCTCAAGATAACAAAAGTTTTATCTTGAAAATAATGTGTTAGCTTATCTTGTTATCTTGAAAAAAACAAGTTATTTATCTTAATATTTCAAGATAACAAAATTATTTTGAAATAAAGAGTTACTTATCTTGTTATCTTGAGATAACAAAAATTGTTATCTTAAGATAATGAGTTAATTATCTCATGATCTTAAAATAACAAACTTGTTATCTTGAGATAACGAGTTATTTATCTTGTTATTTCCAGGTAACAAAATTGTCATCTTAAAATAGTGAGGTACTTATCTTGTTATCTTGAGATAACAAAAGTTGTTGTCTTGAGATAAGTTATTTATCTTGCTATTTCAAGACAATAAAATTGTTATCTTGAAATAATACGTTATTTATCTTATCTCAAGATAAAAAAGTTGTTATCTTAAGATAATGAGTCAATTATCCCATGATCTTAAGATAAAGTTGTTATCTTGGGATAACAAGCTATTTATCTTGTTTTTTCAAAATAACAAGGTTTTTATCTGAAGATAACGAGTTATTTATCTTGTTATTTAAAGATAACAATTTTGACAATAACAAAAAAGATATCTTGTTTTTTCGAGATAACAAAATTGTTATCTTGGAATAACAAGACAAATAAATCATCATTTCAAGATAACAACTTTGTTATCTTGATTTCACAAGATAACCAATATAATAATGAATATAAAAATTAATAATCCAGAAAACGACAGCCACAGATTATGGCCTCTCCGGACTTCCGTACCTAGAAGCTCCCAGGTGTGTCATTGTTTAAAAAGGTAAACTAACCATCTCCCATTTTGGAGTAACGGTCACTCAGGACCCTAAAGACTGGCCAAAAGAGGGGGGTGAGATGAAGAAATGAGGGGATGTCCCTGAAAAAGCATCCACTGGAACAGGAGACCTGCAGTGTCCCCTCCGGCCTAACTGAATTCAGACAGAAGGTGGCGGAGGGTCCCTCTTAATGGAGATGCAGTGGCGCCTCCAGCAAGTCAAATCCATCTCTGACACGTCGCGACGGCCTGTCAGAGTTGAGCGACGCGGTGCGAAATTGATTACGCGGAAGACGTCGCTAAACCTCGCGCGGCAAATGCAACGCGACATCCGTTGATGATGGATAAATTAGTTCATTAACGTCTGATGAACTTCATACCGTAACGTAAATATTTTCCAAATGCCATCAATGTTTGACCAAGATGGACAAGAAACTGATATACAGTTCTCAGTTCTGACTCAATGATAATATGTATATGGATCATTCTCTATTTAGAGTGGGAATTCAGGTGGATACATTTAAAAAATTAAAAATCTGTTTCTTTCATCCCAAAACTAAATCGTAATATGTCCATTAACATCTCCCATTATCATATATGCAGACAGGAGAGCTGAATTCCAAACATATTTTACAGTCACTGGTGTTATATGAATACGATGTAACACCAGTGACGGTGACTCCAGTGACATTCTGGTTAAAACTGATTAATTACTCAGCCAAAAAAGCACATAACACCAGTGACACATAGACGTTATGAGCTGCCTGATGAACAAAATTATTAATAAATTAATGAAATATAGTGAGCAGGTGTGGACTGGCTCTCTCACGCCTTAAAGTGCTTCCTCTCTAAAGGGGCCTCGACCCAAAGAAGCTGTTTAATAGAGCTGAAAATACTGTGTTAAAATGTAAAATAAGAGTCCTGATAACACCAGTGACCAAAATCTCCGTGACAAATGAACTATTTAATAAAAGACGTTTTTCAAATGTAGTATAACGTTAATGATAAAAGTAAACATGAATCTGTTGTATACAAATTACTAAGTTTAACGTCTTAAAAATATAGTTTTATATTAAAAATGGCTTCTTAAATGCTGACGAGCTGTTTTACAGACGCAGAGTGACTATAAAACAGGATTAAAAAAAGAAAAATCTGAGAAATCATAAAGGAGAAATATGTTGTTTAATCTTAGCTCAACTGTAAATGTACATACTGGCTTTTGGAGCTGTGCCTGATATTTTAATTTTTTTTTTTTAAGTTTCCCACTCTAAATGGACAATGACCCATATGCCACTCGAAGGTCAATTAAGCAAGCAGTTTCACTGGAAGACAAACAATGCAGATAAACCCTCAATCATTACATTTAAATAATCATGTCATTTAAATGTAGCACTGACTTCATTAAGTACATCTCCTTATATCTACACTCACCCACATATAGCTTCACTCTGTAGTTCTACAGTTACAGACTGTAGTCTGTCTGTTTCTCTACATACTTTGTCACCCTGTTCTTCAACGGTCAGGACCCCTACAGGACCACCAATGAGCAGGTATTATTTAGATGGTGTAAATGGTGTATTAAAGGAGTCTTACGGTCAGACAGGGTGGTGATGACCATTTCGTCAGTGCTGATGCCCGGTCCGTGGCGGTTCAGCGCCAGCACGCGTAAAGAATACTCTGTAAACTTCTTTAGACCCTCCATCCTGTAGCTCTGGCCAAGAACCTCCACACTCTGATTAAACGACAACAACAACAACAATAATAGTACATATATTGTTTAACTACTTTATAATAAGTTATATAATGTTTATATAATTTAAACACATTGTACATTAATGCTCAAAACATTCTTTACTGTGTGTAAATTACACAAAATAAAATACAGTGTGACAAAATAAAAAAAAATGGAAAAAGTGTTTAATAAGAGTAAAAAAATGGAAATGTTACAAGTAAATGTAACTAAAAGTACATAGTACATGTATCCAAGCTCCGCCCACAAACATGTTCTTTTATAGCTACTGTTTGACAAGAACCTAAAAAATCCAATTGAACCTGAAGGCAAATTAGAAGTCACTGATGCAAAATAATAATAATAATAATAATAATAATAATAATAATAATATGTGTTATTATTATTATTATTATTATTATTATTATTATATAGGTAGCAGCACAAATTGCTTTATAAACACGATACATCTCAGTAACAGCAAGAAATTAAACTAAAAGTAAATTCAATAAAGCAAATGAAGTAAAGTAAATGAAAACTTTAATTACATGCTAAATTAAAAAAAAGATTTTTTTTTAATGTTTCTAAAATGTTTTGTGTGGAAACATTATGTAATGTGTAAATATGCACATTCAGATTATGTTATTAACTGAAATGAATACTTTTCATTGACTACTTTTGAATACTTGTGGTATAAAATGCACATTTTATTCAGGAGAATATTAAATATACATTACTGAGAAATCAAGTTTAATCAAATCACAAAATCCACTGTTTCAATCTCAGTTGCACCAAGACCCCCACATACGCCCCCCAACCCCTTATTCACCTTTTTCAAACAAACAGAGAAAACATTCCACACTAATAGGCTGATGAGCAAAGGCTGATGGGAAGTGTAGTGTGTCAGACTCTGACCTGCTCTTTGCCGCTGGACGTCTCAGTCCAGAGGAGCCGGTAGCCTTGGATGGGGCCGTTGGCATAAGCTGGGGGGTCCCAGGAAGCCTGAATAGAGGTGGGGGATGACGCCTCTGCCTGGAGGTTCTCAACAGGACCAGGAACCTGAACTGCTCCACATAAAGAGAGAGAGAGAGAGAGAGAGAGACCGAGACAGAGAGAGAGAGAGAGAGAGAGAGAAGGTAATGAAAAATAGAAAAATAGAGACAAAGAAATAAAGAAAGTAAGAAAGAAAGAAAGAAAGATTTAGGATTTATTTGAAACCACTTTATTTTTCATAGATCTGTTTATATGTAGAACTTTTCTCTCCACTGGAAGCTTAAGGTGAAAAAGCTTTAATACATCAGCCGCTTTGCATTCCTTCACTCCACACACACAGCAGTCATGCTACGTTCTCCATAGCGAATGATTTTAGCTCGGGCTGCCATTTCAATCAGCGCTTAAACAAGAAAGTCAAGGTCAATTTGTTGCTCCTCCACAGGCCGAGCTAATGCTGCATCAGGCCTGTCCGCAGCTTTAGCCTGCATTAATATATGCACATATTCGCCGTGATGATAATCTAGGCATTAGAGGCGTTTTGCTGGGAAACGAGCTCCTGCAGGCTCACAGTGCAGCCCTGAGGCAACGGGAAAAAGGCAAAAAATGAAACGAAGAGTAGGAGAAAATAACGAATGGAAGGAGGAGGAAAATGTCTGAAACTATGGCCTATTCACTGTGTAATGCACAATACTTTTCCATTTAATATTTATTCTATTATGTTTCTGATTTTTTAATATAGAGTATAGTGATTAAAGGACAAGTTCGGTTCTTCATAGCGTGGTTCTATACAGTTCTCATGGTTTACAATGTAATTGTAATTGGCCATTTGTGTTCCCTACAATAGTGTTCTATATAATACTTCAATGATAGTACTTAAATGTAGGGAATAGTGATTAGGGACCACCTTTGCTCCCTATAATAGTGTTCTATATAGTGCTCCAGTGTAGGGAATAGTGATCAGGGACCATCCCTTTTCCCTATAATAGTGTACTACATAATGATTCAGTGTAGGGAATTGTGATCAGAGATAATTTCTGTCCCCTATTATAGAGTTCAAAATTGTGCTTTAATTTAATGAATAGTGATTAGGGACCACATTTGTTCCCTATAATAGCGGTCTATATTGTGCTTCCTAGTGTAATAGTGTCCGAAATGATGCTTTAATGTAGGGAGTAGTGATTAAGGGACCATTTCTGTTCCCTAAAATAGTGTTCTGCATAGTGCTTTAATGTAGGGAATAGTGATTAGGGACCATTTCTGTTCCCTGCAGTAGTGTTCTACACAGTGCTTCAATGTAAGGAATAGTGATTAGGGACCATTTCTGTTCCTTTTAATGGTGTTCGAAATAGTGCTTCAATGTAGGGAACAGTGATTAGGAACAATTTCTATTCCCTATAGTGGTGTTCTATGTAGTGATTCGATATAGGGATTATTAATTAGGGACCATTTCTGTTCACTATAATAGTGGTCTACATAGTAATTCAATGTAGCGATGGTATCGGACCATTTCTGTTCCCTATAATAATGTTCTAAATAGTGTTTCAGTGTAGGGAATAGTGATTAGGGGACCTTTTCTGTTCCCTACAGTAGTGTTCCACATAATACTTCAATGTAGGGAATAGTGATTAAGGGACCATTTCTGTTTCCTATAGTAGTGTTCTATGTAGTGCTCCAATATAGGGCAGTTTTTCCCAACCTGGTCCTCAGGGGCGCCCAGGTGGGCCCAGATTTTGTTTCAGTCTCACTTACACTGATGTAGAGAATAGAGATTAGGGACCATTTCTGTTCCCTATAACAGTGTTCTTTTTGTGTTTCAATGCAGGGAACAGTGATTAAGGGACCACTTCTGCTCCCTATGTTTACTGCAAAGTGCTAAAATGTAGAAAATAGTGATCAGGGGGCCGTTTCTGTCCCCTGTAGCTGTGCAGTATACAGTGCTGCAGTGTAGTGACAGTGATCATGAGACTATTTCAAAACGCATTGCAGATCACTCTCAGCGGTCATTTGTGGGTTTGTTGCTTCTTTGGAGTGTGTTTCCTTTGTCAGGCTCTGCGTGTTCCTCGGCGTCTGTACAGATGGAGAGCTATAGTTGGAAACCTTGTCCGTGCGATGCGGAGAAAAGGTCAAGCTGTTCAACATCTCCGCAGAGGCTCATTAGAAAGGTGAGAAGCCCATCCTTAAATGCTACTTTCTGCACTAAAAGGTCGATAATGGAAGCCAATATGAGGGAACCTTTTAGAAAGTTTGTAGAAAGGAGCGTGCATAAACACTCACATCAAAAACAGAGGCTTGATATTGAGGCTGTGCTCATATTGGAAGTCCTGATTTTCAATTTATTTGCATATCAGATTGTAATCTGGAGTGCAAACTGCAAAAAAAGTAAGTCTGATTCAAATGATATCAACTGCATTTCAGGAATGTTTTGGTTCGGACGCTTAGTATGCTTGGTTGAGCTATTACTTAACAGATAATACGGAGTGACCAGGTCCAATGCATGCTGGTTACTTACGTTCAGGTTGTGTGGTCAGCCGGATTGGCTCAGAGCTCTCTCCTGGGCCGAGCTCGTTGTAGGCTACCACCCTGAAAGTGTACACTGCCTCGGGCTTCAGACTGCTCACCGTCAGCTGGAGACTCTCTGGCTCCGACACATTTACTGAACGCTCTCTGTCGAGGACAAAACAAACAGCGCTCAAGAGCTGATCAGGGATCAGTCTGAATTAAAACACTCCCTCAAGATCCCTATAGGCACATTGTAAACACTGCAGCCTCAAATCATCTCAAGCTAGTCCGTCCCTGTGCTGAGCTGAGCTGAGGATTGTAGCTGCGTTATTTAAGAGCAGCTTTTATGTACAGCATGACAAACAGGGACACGTTTCGGGATAAACAGGCTTTGGGGGAACCATAAAGAAGATCTAATGTACTACTGACTACACCACAGTGGTAGGTAGTTGGAAAAATGGTTATGCAGTACCAGTCAAAAGTTTGGACACATTTAAGAGGGTGTTTACTATTTTTTAATATTTTACTCATTTTCTAGACATTATAGACATAAACACAAAGCTGTAAAAATTAAACCATGGAATTATAGAGTGACCAAAAAGCATTAAACATATCTAATCTTCTAGAAGACTTCTGTCTTTGAAATACCGTCTATATTATAGATACCTCGTATCTTAGAAAAATACCATGTAGATATTTGTATCGTCTAGATCTCTTGAATCTTCAAAAAAAATCTTCTATCTTTATCTAAGATATCTAGTATCTTGTAGACAACCTCCATCTTCCAGATAGCTTTTATCTACTAGACAATGACCATATTCTAGATATCTTGTATCTTCTTTATAACTTCCATGTTCTAGTTATCTTGCATCATCAAGAAATCTTGTAATTTCTAAACTTGTGTCTTCTCAGATAATGTATATATTCTAAATATCTTGTCTTCTAGATATGCTCTGGATATCTTCTATCTTCTAGATATGATTTATCTTCTAGATATCTACCTTCTAGTTTTCTTGACATTTCTAGATATGTATCCACTTGCTATGTAACTTCCATATTCTACATATCTTGTATCTTCTAGAAATCATCTTCCATATATCTTCTGTCTTCTAGATATGCATTATCATCCTAGATGTTTTTTTTATGCTTTATGCTTTTCTTTTAGATTTCTTCTTCTAGTTTTCTTGTATCTTCTAGATATCTATCTACTATATAACGTCCATTATCTAGACAGATTGTATCCTCTAGAATACTTCTAATATTTCTAGATATTTTGCAGTTTTCTTGAATTTCCTAGATGTGTATTTACTAGACAAATTCAATATCCTAGATATATTGTATCTTCTAGAAATTGTCTATTTTCTAGATATTTTCTATCGTCTAGATAGGCTTTGTGCTTTTATTTTAGATATCTTGTATTTTCTAGTTTTCTTGTAACTTCTAGATATGTATCTACTAGATACGTTCCACATTCTAAACATCTTGTATCTTCTGGAAAAAAAAATCTAGAAGAGATCTTCTAGATTTCTCATGTCATCTCCTTGCCCTTTCAGATCTTTCAAAGTTGCCTTTTGCCGTGACGCAGTTTTACACATTCTCTCAAGCAGCTTCATGAGGAGCCACCAGGGATGCTTTTCTAGAAGTTCCACATGTGCTGAACTCAGAATCGTCTCTAAGACACAGTTTAATTTACAAACGTTTAAACAAGAACTTTTAGATTTATGTCTTCAAGACTATGTTGAACCGGCGTACTGTCAGATGTGTCCAAACATTTGACTGTTACTGTATATAAGCCAACAGAAGCAGAGAAAACCTAAAAGAGTTAACTTCCTACATACTTATTACGCCCTGCAAGTTAAAGACGTTTAAGTTTGACTTGTTGTAGCCCTTTTTGACCGAATATGACTAATGTATCACATTTCTAATTGAAAGTTGCAGTGAAAGAAAGCATTCAGCTTTTCAGTGTAGATTTATATAATCATTTTTTTTTTATTAAACCTGACAGACGTTGTTTATTATATTAATTCCCTTACATAAGAAAAGCTCCAATGCTTTCATTTCACATCCCCTGAAACCCAGCAGCTGGTCATTCATGGGCAGCTCTAATTATACACTGTGAGGCCTGGCAGAAGGTCATATTTCTCATGTGGACAAAAGCTTATTTGAAACAAAGCTGACTCATGGACCTCAGTGTTCTGGAGCATTATTGGTGGTGGCTGCTTTCTGCTAATTATGAACCTATTTCTTTTCCTAATTTTGCCTCATTTGTTTTCTGAAAGCTGCGTGGGGGGAAACAGTATGATGGAGAGCAAAGCTATAGAAATAGCTTGGTGAGAAATCTAGTCAATCAGCCAAGACATAATTGGTGTCCAGAGCTTCTTTAGCTGTTCACTGAAGCTATGAAGCTACTGTAGCTGAAGCTTATTAGCCAATTAGCATCATATTCTATATCTAAATCACCATATATTTGCCTTCAAATCGTATGTAGTTATTAATGAATCTCAAATAGACTTGCTTTTGTGGTTTATGTGGTAAATCATCACATAAAACATGGACAGAATTAGGCTTCAAGATGGCTGCTGCTACCGTGTTTAGCTACACGACTGTTTTTAGCCACTTTTGTCAACTTTTACAGACAACAGTACATCAAACAGTGCCAGAAACCTCATAAGCAAGTCTATTAGAGGTTACTTGACAACTTAAATGTGATTTGAGGCAAACATGTGATGCACATGCTAACTGCTGGGCTACAAACTTTCTTTAGCTACATTATCCTTGTGGCTCCAGTGCAAAACTAAAGAAGCAAATGAACACCAGACATGTTTTGACTGGCTACATGTAGGGTAGAACTAGGTTAATTGGATTTGTCCCCAAACTATTCCTTCAAATAACACCAGGGGGGGACTCCTGTTTATACTTGCTTGAAGGCAACTTTTCAAATAGCTGCTCCACGTAGCATTTTTGGTTTTAGAAGGCATCCTCAGGCTGGCCTTGGAGAGACGCCGCTTCCTTGTGGCTCTGAAAAGACCCCCCCCCCAAGAACGTACCTGTTGATTCCCTCCTGGGAGTAGAAGACCCCATAGGTGAGGATGGTCCCGTGTGTCTCCAGCGGGGGGCGCCAGCCAAGGCGCGTGAAGCGACTGGACACTAGGACAGGGGCCACGTCACGGGGGGCGGAAGGGAGGGCGCCTGAGCTCGGGACAACTGGTGGGGGAGGAGAGGAGTAAGTCAAAGAAGGAGTGCGGGGTACGGGGAGCTCAGAGGGGTGGGGGGGGCACGGGGGCTAGAGCTGGGGTACCCTCTGCAAGGTTAGTCATATAAGGGGCAGAAAGGGAGGGAACGGGGGATCGAGGGAATGTAGGGAGGGAGGGAAAGAAGGGGAGGAGACAAGGTGAAGTGGGGTGGGGCCACAGGGGAAAAAAGTGGGAAAGGGGTGGGGTTGAAAGAAACAAGAGGAGCATGAGCGATGAAATGAAGAGATAAGGAAAGAGGAGGAAAAAAGAGAGAAAGAGAGAAAACAGACCAGGAAGAAAAGAAAGAAGCGATAAGGAAAGATCACAGACTAGAAAAAGGCTTCGCTCATCACAGATCAGGGCAAGTAGTCAACGTTCATAGAGGAAGCACAAAGGAGTGGGATGAGAACAAAGCAGCAATGCGAGTGATGTGGACGGACAGCTTGGACGAGCATGCGGTCATTAGCGATGCTAATACACATACGGCGCTGTGCGTTTGCCCACAATGTGTTGCGTTCACATGTAGCCCACTTTAGACTGAAGTTAATGCCACTGGTGAAGCAAACAGACGGCATGGAATGAAAAGCTGGTGAGTAGAGAGGGAATAAATAAGGACGTCTAACTGCAAAAACCCCTACTGTCCATCTAGAAGAGGTCGCTGACTGAGAAACACTGACTATTCAACAGTGGATACTTTCATCCCTTTAAAATGTGACGTTCGCCTTGACACCGGCGAGTTGAAAGCAAGTACACCAACTAAACAGAACCCTACTCGGCTGAACTGTGACCAAATCCTGAAAGCTTACTTTGGCTACGTTCACACAGCAGGTAAAAGTGGCCCAAATCTGATTTTCTCACCAAATCCAATTTCTTTGTTTGGCTGTTCACATTATCTTTTAAATGTGATCTGTATGCGACATCAGTCTGAACAGATCAGCTCCTAAACTGACCCTCATGCGCAAAAGAACAGAGCTTCACGCGGCTCATCCACAGGTAAACAATCATAACTACCAACGAACTCCAGTCACTCCCCGAGGTTCAGCTTCATCTTCGCCAGGAGCCATCATGAAGCTTCACTGACTGACAGCTGAGCTCATCACCCAGAATGTGTTCGAGCTCACCGTAAAAAGGGCGCGGTCACTTCTTTGGTTTGTGTCCTCGGATTCTTTAAACTTTGCTTTCAGACTTCTAACTGTTCTTTGACGCTGCAGCCTCGTTCTTCTATGGCTGCATTTGGCCATTTTTCCCAAATCTCTTCAAACACAGAGGTGTTTGAATCAGTCTCTTCTATTTTTTTGTACAGAAACATCACCTGAAATGTTTGAGGCCTCAGCAGCGCGAAATTATGACGAATGTGGAGTTGGATTGTGGAGTCGCACTGCCACATCTCGGACACGTATCGGACTTCAGTCCCACATATGAAAGCGTCTCAAATCAGAATTGAAAATGTCAGATTCAGTGTGTTTTTTTGCTGTTCACACTGACACACATCAATGTGTGAACAAAGCCTTAGTGACCTGTGGAGTCCCACAAGTTCCACTTTATCTTCATGGTCGGCTGAAGATGTTTTGTAGATGTTCTCCTTGTTTCTAACCCCTAAACTCGGAGACAGGGTGCCCAATCCTGGTCCTAGAGCTCTACTCCTCTGCAAAGGTCAGATCAAACACACCTGGCTGTTATGTTCAGGGGCACCTGAAGGCCTTCATTACCTGGACCTGGGGTGACAGATTAGGGTTGGAGCTAAACTCTGCTAAACCTGGTGGTAGATCTCCAGGACCAGGACTGGGCACCCCTGCACGGGCATGAAACTGAAGCCTGTACCTGACTTGTATCCACAACTTTAAGACCTGACCCAATCAGATCTCGCTTACAAGCGCTAACAAAGTTGGAACATTGGAAACATTGTTATAGGAGCTTTTAAGTGAAAGTGTGTGACATTTATGTCGGCACATTCCCTCAAATAAAAGCAAAACTGCTACATAAAAACAGACCTGAGTCTGATGTTGTACATGGACAGTCCTGTCCACGCTTCAGTTCCTCACTCTCATAAACACAGAACTTACATATTAGTCTTTGTACAGTTACTGAATAGTAATTCTTAGGATAAATAACTGAAGCCTGAGGGCATGATGTACTAAGCCTTTTATGCCACCTTCAGGCACAAATTAGATGCCTCCAGCTAAACTGATGCACGAGTCAGTTTATTAGATTGTATTATAGTTTCTTAAAGTCTATTTTTTTAGCCACTAGCTTTTCACAATGCCTTTAAGTATCTGCAGTTTGGGTGTGAAGCAGCCTTGGCAAATCAATCATTTAGTTCCCCAACCAAACCCTTAAAATACACAACATCATGGCATTTTCCTCCAAACTGAAAGCCTGTCAAATCTGTCTGGGCCTAGTTGCAGTGGCTAAGCTACCACTGGACATTGTATTTTAGGGAGAAATATTTAGAGCAAGAAAATAGAAGATAGTCTAGATGACAAGAGAAATCTAGAGGATAGAATGTATCTAGAAGATAGAAATTTCCCAGAAGACACAAGATGTCTAGAAAATGGAAGTTATCTATACATAGCTAGAAGATACCTGAAAATTAGAAGATAGAAGATATTTAGAAGAAAAGCGTAAAGCTTAAGCATATCTAGAAAAATAAAGCATATCTAGAAGACAGAAAGTATCTAGAAGATAGACTATTTCTAGAAAATATGAGATATCTCGAAGGTAGAAGTTTTGTAGAAGACACAAAGTATGTATGACTTAAAGTAAGTTATTTAGTAAATACATATCTAGAAAGCTCATGAAAACCAAAAGACAGAAGATGTCTAGAAGACATTTTCTAAAAGAAGTTTACGAATTAGGAGATTTCTTGAAGATACAAGATAACTAGAAGGTAGACGACATGTAGAAGATACAAATTATTTTGAAGGTTCACATTTTCTAGAAGACTGAGCATATCTAGAAGAAAATATCTAAAAATAGGGTTTTTTTAGAGACTATAAAATGCCTAGAATATGCAGTATCTAGATGCATATCTAGAAGATAGAAAAACAACTTGAAAATAGAACATATCTAGAAGAAAAGCACAAGATAGAATATATCTAGATAGACAATTTCTAGATATAGGATAGAAGATATCTAGAAGATAGATGCTTTTCTAGAAGATACAAGAAAACTGGAAGATGGAAGATGTCTATAAGAAAAACATATCCCATTAGGCATATCTGGGATGACAAAGTAGTCCTAGTTCTAGTTCTAAATGTGTCCAAATTTTGGACTGGTACTGTACTTCTTTATTGTCCATTAAAAATTTGAGCACATCACTGTTTAAAAAATATTGTTGACTTTTATTTTAATCATTTGAACCCAATGGCTAGGCCTTACATTGTGAAGAAAATTCATGATGACTGGTCCAACAGAAATTGTCCAAAATGACTTATTAAAACATCTTTTTACATTAATTTACATTAAAAGTAAAGAGTATTTTTTTATTTTCTCCTGTAAAGTTATCATTTTGGAGATATATTCTTTCAATATGTGTTTTTTGGACAACAATGATTGTAGATAATCCACTGGGGGCCAAGAATATAAAGCACAACCAGCCTGTGGTCCAGAACTTTGTTCTTAAGTTGTCCGTGTCCTTCAAATAAAGTATTACTCTCCACAGAATAGTAATCTATATGTTTGTGTTAGTGTGTGTGTGTGTGCGTGAGTGAGTGTGTGTGTGAGTGTGTGTGTGTGTGTGTGTGTGTGTATTCATTGCAAAGCCCCAGATGCTTTTTTCACACCTCCAATGATGCTCGCTCAGCCAGACACTTCCATGTCAGACACTACCTTCACACACTAGCACACACACTCTCACTTGGGGAATGAGTGTTACGACCCAGCGAACGCTCACACATGCCCGGAGGAGAGAAAGAAACAAAGCCCACGGTGGCGAAACTAAAGAAGCGGTCAGAAAAGTGTCCACCTGGATTCGGAGGACATGCTGTGGAGTCATGCCCACTGTTCTGGTCAAACACACTCACACTGATGCGCTCTCTAGTGATGCTCGTCCTGCAGCGAAACTATAGAGCTGACTGGACAGAGAGTGAAGGGCCTGACCGATGTATTGTTTCGCTGGTAAAATCGTCCAATATTAAGCTTTCAAAGTTTTATTGGTATCAATGTGATCTGACAATCATACATTTAAGCAGTTGGTTTTATACTCACTATTCAGTCCACTAATCTGCTAAATGCCCTAAGAGTGAAGACAATCATGTGCAGTGTTATAAAGCTCGGTCCCACTTTATAGTGGGTTAGTGGGTCATGTGGGTCATGGGTAGTTACACATGAATAACATATGCAACAATACTAACTACTGATGATTTAGCCAATGTTACAGACGGATTACAGAAGTACAGCCTATGAAATGACACATGTGCATCAATTTCAGTTTTGACATTATTTAAGACTTTGTGAGCCCCAATTTAAAATCATATCATTCAGCAAAGCCTTGTTTGATTAAATCTGTAAGAGCTTTATAGCCATTTGAATTTTTACTTGTAAATATCAGTTTAGGGGAAAAACTTGAAGTTCAAAGGTTTCAAGTCAACACTTTCAGTAATATATTAAGCAAATCATTAAATGATCAAAAAAAATTAGTCGAGAAAAAAAAAAATAATAAAAATAACACAAAAAAAAGGATTAACCCCTGAAATGGCCAGGGCCCACCGGCGGGCCCAAAGTTTTATTACACATTTATAACCTAAGAATAGCTCAGCCAGTCTGCATTGAGGTCCTTGTGGTTACTGCATAATAAGCCTTAGTATGTAAGCCTGTGATTTTACAGGTTTATTTGTATAGTAAAATTAATAAAACAAAAGTAGATATGGAAGCTTTAGCGAAGGTTCTGCCAGGAGACTCTAATGCTATGTCATTTATTCATTGGTCCTCAACAGTTACTGGACTACACCTGTCTTTAAAATGACTCAAATC